GCTGTTGGTTTGTGCCCTCCCCCCCCCCCCCATCAGACATGAAATCATGAAGTATCACGAGGGATGGCTGCGTTTGTTTACTCCTGCTTCTTTTAGGTTTCAGTAATAGAAGCTCAAAGAGAGAGAAAGCCATGATGTGTCGCGCAGAGGGATTCGTTGTTTGAGGTTTGCTGTGGAATAAGACCAGTCATCCTTGTAACTGTTTTCCTTCACAGCTAAGGTGATAAGCCCTGTGAGAGGCTGGTGTGACTGCTGGTCCACATGGTCCACAGCCAGAGCTGGCTCTCCAAGCTGGTGAAGGGTGCAGGCCAGTTGAGCACACATCAGTCTTTATCCATCTCTGTGTATGTGTGTGCACCTTGGGATGTATAACAGCAGTGTCCTGCCAGAAAGGGAGAGGAGTCTGCCTTTGGGGCAGACATACTTAATGCATACAGTATGTTTTCTCTACACATAAAGCAGGCTTAATAATTAAAAGACTAAGGAGGAAATGGAAATTTCCTGACTGGATGGTACTGGTGCAACAACATAGTCTCAATCCATCTTATTCTTGTCCGGCTTCCCTGAAAGGGCTGACAGAAGTCTGGAAGCAGCTGAGAGCTAATGAGAACAGCAGCAAGCCTAATACTTTAACACAATCTCTCTGAGTAGGAACTAATCTGGTTTATATGAGCTGGATGACCTTTGTGGTATAGCTGGCGTATGGAGCCACAGCCTTCCAGGCAGTGCTTTCACTTGGTTATTTTTCCTGTAGCTTTAATGGTCTTCCAAAAGAAAAGGGAGCTGCCTCTTCATTCCCCTGCAGTATTCAGTTTGCAGAGAAGGGTGGCTGCATCTCCTGTGAGAAACAGCCCAGCTGATGAGGAGAGCTGGGATGGTTTCCTGCTCCTCTGTGGTAGAAGTTGGTGGTGGAGGTGGGGAAGACTGATGGACACTTTGGTTAGTAAAAAAGAGGAACAGCACATGCCCACATGCCTTGCCTCCAAAGGGACAAGCGAGTTTTCCTGCAGCGTCCAGACCGCATTTGGTTTTCTGGGAGCCATCAGAACATCCCTGCTTTGTGGTGCAAACCCAATACCACAATGCTAGGTCAGAAAGATTACTACTGTTTCTTCCTAGAGTAGTGAAACAGTGTAAGATAGGAAGGAAAAGGCTTCCAGTGCAAATGATAGTTTACTGTAACTGTCCACTTTGCTTCAATCCGTGAGGATGGTAGATGCAGGATTTTACTGCACTCTGAAGCTTTATGCTAGGTTATGGCATTGAAATTTGCTTAGAGACTTTGAGAGGCTTGCTCAGAGAAGTTGTTGAGGAGCATTTGCCTTGAGAATCATCACAACCATCCCAGCTTATCCTTTTTGTTTTGTGTATTATTTTATTCAATTAGTTCTTCCTCAGCTCAGCCTTCCTTCTCTTACAGCTCGAGATCGTCATAGCTACAAACCTCTAATATCTTTTTCCTCTCTTTCTTGCTTTCTGTGTTTATCCATGGCACATCTTTGAAGTCATGGAGACAGCCATCTCTTCCAGATTCAGCCTCATGTTACTGCTTTGCTATCGGCTGTCGCCGCAGCAGTGAGTTTAGTGGCTTGTGGTCTGTGTAATTGGGGGTGGGCAGCAGTCTGCAGGCAGATGAGGAAGAACAATAAAGGAGTGTAAAAACAAAGGCTCTGTTCATGACAGCGGTTATTGCCTGGAGCTATGCAGAAACGACAGAATCTCCTGTGTGCAGTATCTAAACCTCATGCAAATGTTGCTATTCAGGTGTGCAAAAGTTGTGAGCTGACACACATCCTGTTGGTTGAGCGTTGATGGGTGGATGGCAGTGTTGTAGGAGTGATGGGTGTCACTGCTGTGCACCCAAGTGGAGGGGAAGTAGAAGCAATCTTGGTTTTCATGCCTTTTGGGCTCATCTGCTGCCTGGGAGAGGCAGACCAGCTCGAGGGAGGAGGCAGAAGTCTGTGATGCTGGGATGTGACCATGGGTGGAAAGGAGCCCTGCATGGGCGAGGAGCAGGGAGTACGTTGCTGCAGGTGGAGTTAGGTGGGCTGACAAGGAGTGCTGGTCTTGTGTTGAAAGGGTTATACTGGAATCCAGGAGCCCTGTGTCTGTCTGGCTTGGGCTGGTGGCACCATGGGGAGGAATGTGTCTGTTTGGTTCCCCCCACAAAACGTGGGTCTGATCTTTGCTCTGTGTCAGTGGAGCTTTCAATGCTCAAATAGCCTCAGTGTCTGGGGTGTTTGGGACTCTGCTTCTGTTTTGTCTTGCAAAATGCCACTAAAACTGTTTTCTCTCTCAGAGGTGTTAGGAAAAGAGATTCATCCGTTTGTGTGGCATTCTCACACCCCATCATGATGGGATGGAGTCTTGATACTTGTAGGGAGGAAGGATGGTCATTGCTTTGCATTATTGCTGTGTATCATGCTGAACCACCGTAAAGAATCCATTTATTCTTCTTCTGCAAGTTCTGCTTATTTTTCATGAGAAATATTGTAACATATTAATTCAAGTCAAAAAGTTTTGATGCCTTTTCTTCAGTTCAGAGAAGCATTGATTAGATCCAGACTCTGCATTTACTTGAAATGCTGCAATCCCACGTATCTGCTGTTACAACTAAAGCGTAACTTGTTATTTAAGTGAAAAATAGGGCCATTAGTTTGAGCAGATAGTACTGGCAATGTAAGTGACTTAAAAACCACCAAACGTCACATAAAGCCATGAACAATGTCTGTCGAAGTATGAGCTGCAGTGGACGTGCCAACTCAGTTTATTGTACAATAACCATTTCAACCACCAAATCTTTCCAATTTCTTATACACTGCAGTTAATAATTTGGTTCATCTAAAGAGTAATTGTTTTTCCTCATTGGCCTGACAACGAAAACAAAAATGTGTGTGTTTCTGTTCTTTTCTAATACATATATTGCTGATGAAAATCAGCTGTGTTGTGTCCTCTGATGTTGGGATTTTTGTGTCAGGTTACTCGTAGATCCAAATTGGTCTCCCTGGGTTTTCTGGTTTTTAAAGGAGGCAAAATCTGTACTATAATAAAACATGCTGTGAATTCAGTAACTTGGAGAAAAGGTCTAATTTTTGTGCGTGTGTTGTTTTATCAGAAGAAAATACTCTGTTTATCCTAAGAAACGAAGCAATTTTGCATGTTTGAACACACACACATGAAGCTACAGATCCATCTACCACCCTTCGATGACTGCCTTGTTCCATTGCTGAAGCAGATACCATTCCTTCTGCTGTCCTACGGCTTTGCATGCCCTTGGTTTGTCTTTGCAGCCAAATTCTGGGGTGAGCTTGGGTGAGCTGAATCACTTGCACCTGTAGGCTCGTGTGGATGAGGCCTCTCAGGAGGCTGGAGTTATGTGGGGAGATGGTTTGGAGACATTTATGCTGGGAAATCATAGAATCATAGAACACTTTGGGTTAGAAGGTCCCTTCTAACCCAATCTCGGCCAACCCATCTGCAATGAGCAGGGACATCTTCAACTGGATCAGATTGCTCAGAACCACATCCAGCCTGGCCTGGAATGTCTCCAGGGATGGTGCATCCACCATCAATCTGGGCAACCTGTGCCAGTGTTTCACCACTCTCATTGTGCAGAATTTTTTCCTCACATCCAGCCTGAATCTCCCTTTTGGTTTAAAAGCTGTTATCATGTTTGATGCTCTTGCGTGTTGCTGAATTGTGGAAAAACGCTCTGGAAGAAAATCTGTTTGTAAAAGAAGGGGAGGAGAAATTTGAAAATCCAGAATAAGAAGTTTTATTTGCCTCCCATCTCGTGCTGAGGCTTTCTTGCAATTACGTCGTTACTCACCTGACCTAAAGCTTCCGTTATGCAAGTTAAATATCCTACGGGAGTTTTCCTCTTTCATTATAAAGCAAATTGAGCTGTCTGATTGAAGGAGATGCTTAAAGAAACCATGAGCCAAATGTAATACAATTTTACAGGGAAATACAACATTTCAGATCCCCAAATTGACAGCAAGGCACACTTGCAGTGCATGGGTACGGGCCTGACACAATGAGCCAATGAGGCTTGCTCTCCAAAGAAATGTATGTGTAAGAAGTCTTCTGTCCTCGTGTCCCTGGGGTGGCTTTTCAGGCTTCCTGATCATCAACCTGAGCCACTTTAGTATATCCTGTGAAGTGGGGTTTAAGAAGGAAGTCTCTAAAGCCTTGAGCTCTGTCATTACAAAAGCCTCCTGCCTGTTTTAGCAGGTAAAGGCAGAAGGATACTTCAAGACCTCCTGGGCCACGGGGCTCGTGGCGTTTTGCTTTGAATTACACTAAGGTCAAGAGCATGATTGTGAAGAGGCAAGGTCTGTCCACGCTTCAGAACATCGTGTAAAGGAAAATCCTTGGCTGGAAGTGAAAGCACGTGAATGGGATGGATGTGGAATTTGGTGCATTCCGCCCTATGCAAGGGTGGGAATCCAGCTGTAGCAAAGGCAGTGCCTTCAGGACGTGCACAGCATTATTTTTCAGGAAATGCCAGAGGGAGAAACCTCATCTCCTCAGCTCTCTGCATAAAAATGTTCATATCAATAAACAAATACTTTTTTCCCAGGCAAGGAGTGCCCGGCTCTGTGAGAGACTGTGCATGGAGAGCTGGCAATTCAGAGCCCCAGCACTTTCTGAATAGCTGTGAGCGAATATAGGCTTCATTTCTCAGTGGAATTGTTGTCGTGCATTCCTATGAGGAATCTCAAGTGTGCTTCTGGCCCTCCTGGTCTGCTGGGACACACATCTGCTTTGGTAGGACCCTGCCTCAGCCAAGGGCGTCAGGCATTTGGGCTGTAGTTTGTGGATCAAGTCACTGTTCTGCGTGGTGTGTCCAATTAAACCTCTCCCTGTCCAACTGGTGTGACCTCAGCAAATTCCTTCAAATCTGAGAATCTTTCTGATGGTAGGAAGAGACTATATATAATATATAAAAGGGGAATGAGGTATGTGTGTTTATGTGTATGTGTATATGCAGATATGTAGCATATCTGTGCTAAGGCAGCAGTTTGTAATTGATTCCTTTTGATCTTCGATAAAATAAAGTGCAACTCAAAAGGAACTTGCTTGGCTCCAAAGAGGTAATTTGCTCATTGATTTCATTAGGGTTTTTTTAGCATTTAGCAATGAGTTAATGGTGCTTACTTAACAGAAAATAGATAAATAAAATTCACTCTTACCAGGCTATCTGGTGAATGTTTTTTGAGCCTGATTTACTGGAGTATACAGGAAGTAGCAATATGCTGAAGCTTGGCACTCATTAGTATGGTACATACTTGGAAATAATGCTCTGGAAAAAAAAACCTGTGAAGGTTCTGATCTGGCTCTAAGTTTCAAATGGTCCTAAATGGAAAATGCTTGGATTAAGGCAGGGTGGAAAGTGATTCCCCCACCATGTATTTCTATAAAAAGGTTTTTTCCTCTTCTTCAAAAAGATGAAGTCAAAATGCCTCAGGTTTGATAGCGAAACAATTGCCACATCAAATACAGAAACTATGCTGGTTGGATCCCCTGTGAATTGGGAGCGCTGAGCAGATGGCCATGAAAAGCAGCAGACCCCAGCATCCCTCAGATAAGGCTGTTGTCTGTGTCAGTAGCACACAGGCATGTGTGTCGCCTTTCATTCCTCCCTTCCCAGCTGTGCTCATCTGGCTGCCAGAGGCATCTTTACTGGAGTGATGCTGCAGCTATCATGCTATTCTGATACTGCTTGTTTAGCATCTCCCTGTCCGTCCCCTCCCTATCAGACCCCTTGCTTTACCCTTTTCTGTGGGTGAGGATGCTGCCATGGTGCACACTCGTGGCAGATCTGTTGATAAAACCCAGGAGCCCTGTGTGCTGGTGTCCCTCCAGGCTGTGCACATGGCAATGCAGATGGCTTGGGTGGAGAATGTGTGCTGTGCTGGCGATGACCACGGTTTGTTTTCTTCCCTTCTTCATCCAGAGTACAAAAAGAAGTACGGGGAGGAGCACGGCTCGTGCCAGGCAGGGATTGCGGGCTTCTTCACCGAGGTGAGCAGGGGCGAATGCATGGAGGAGATGGGGTTGGTGAGCAGCTCTCCTGCTGCATGACCCAGGAGGGCAGCCCAAAGCATGGCTTGGACAGAGGGCTGAGTGCTGAGCATGGTCCCTTCCAGCCAGCAAACACCCTCCTGCATCACCCGGCCTTCTGGGTACCTGCATCTTGCACCATGCCTGCCCAGTGGTCCATACATAGGTCTATGGGTGACTCAAGGTCTGTGGCCAAGAGTGAATGAATTGACTCAGAGAAATGTCCTCAGGGAACATGTTTATTGTGTACATCCCAAAGCTTGCACAGCGATATTTCTGTGCCTAATATTAGCTCTTTAAGTGATGATGTAAAAGAGTTCTCCTTAAATGGCTTTGTTTCTGTATGTGTGTATGTGGGTATGTGTATCTATATATATATATGTTACGTATACATTCATAAGATAAACATTTTTTTTCCACTTCTGCTTCAGTTCTTTATTGCAAAAAGATGGAGAAGAAGTAAAATGGTAAAATACATGCTGCAGAGCTGTTCTAGATAGTGGACCACAAACTACTGTCCAGGAAAGAGTAGCAGCAATATTTTAGTTATGTCAAGGATGAATTTGTATGTATTGATTGTTTTTTTGTAATGTTTTAAAGGTGAGGTTTTTGTGTTTTGTTACTGTCATGTCAAGTATATATTTACTCCTTATTATGTATGCACAGGTCTGCAGAATTCATTGTCCAGGCTGATATAAGCAGAATACAAGTGTGCTCTCTGAAACAGCAGAAGTGATTTTGGAGTACAGTGGGATGGCAGGCAACGTTGCCACAGTGGCACTGTCTGATAACTGGATATTGAGACAGCAGCAGCTGTTTCCTGGCTTGTCTGCTCTTTCCAGCCTGTTTCTGTTCCCATGCTTTAAATCCTCCTTTGCCACCCTAGTTCAAAAGATATCTTTGAACTTTCATTGCTTCAGCCTGATGGCAGCTCACTGAGCAGGAAATGCAGATAAATGGCTTTTTGGGTCAAACAGGCAAGCCCCTACTGTATTTTCAGCACTGCTGATGGTAGTTGTTCCTGCTGGTAAATGATCCCTTGACCTCCAGGGCATGGTCCCTCCCAAGGAAAAAAGCTCTTGCCAAGCACATTCTGCTCTTGGGTTGGGTTTTCAGCACTGTCCTGTAGTCTTATTAGGAAAATCCCTCATTTAACATCTCCCCGTGGCTGGAACTGGCCATCCGAACAGATCCCAGCTGTGGGAGCATTTTCCCACTAGGATGGAGTCCATTCATGGCCTTGCATTGAATGGAGATGTGAGGCAAAGCAGCTGTCCTCACGTCTCCTCCAGGAATGGAGACCTTACCTAGGCTTAATGCTCCCCAGGCTTAACTTGGTCCCTTGCTGGATGTAATTGAAACCACATCCAGGAGTATGGTTTTCCTGCAAGGATGCTGGATGCACTGGGGCAATGTTTTCTCAATCTCTCTTGCATGTACATGTACCTTGAGTTTTGCTTCAAAAGCATTATCCATGAGCATCTCCCTTCGGATGCTGGATCAAGCTTTGCCAGATTTCTAGTCTTTTGAAACCCTGCATCAGGCTGGGTGATCCTAATGAACTATAGCCAGATTGTCTCTTGAAAAGCAGAGCGTATCTAATGACAGAGCAAAGCAAAATGTGCCAGCCATCATGTAACACACCCCCTGATCATAGACTGCATGGCAGGTCTTCAGCTTCATAGTTGTAAAATCAAAATCCTTTGTGCTATATCCTTCGTGACTGGTTGGTGTAGCATGTCAGCCAGCATCAGGGCATGCTCTATAGCTGAATGGTGGCTCTGGGTGGGCTGGAGAATGGTTGGGAAAGGCAGCAGGTGAAGAGAGATTTTTGGGAGGACTGTGTTATCAGAGATGTATTTGATGGTTGGCAAGGTTGAGGAAGGTCTGCTATTGAAGTGGCAGGACAGCTGAGCATAAGTGGGCCATAAAAGGGGAGACCCTGTGTCTCTAGGGTGTGTGCAATGACCTCCGTGTTTGGGAAGGATACACACAGAATGGAGATTGTTACAGATGGTCCTACAATTGGTGCTTTAAGTTAATATCCCATCCCTTCTCCATTACTGTGTAAAACATGAGGTTTTGTCCAGTTTTGACTGTTAATTATTTATTTCCCTATCCTTTCCTCCACACCTTTCTGTTTTTCCCTTTGTAGGAGCTGGTCATCATGGGTGCACCAGGATCTTATTATTGGACAGGAACTGTCAAAGTGCTGAATCTCACTGACAACACATACTACAAGCTAAACGATGATGCCATGATAGGCAGGCGGTACACATACCTCGGTAAGCAGCTCGCTGGTGCTCACTGTGAGAATGGATCAGTCCAACAACAGATTTCAGGGCTTTGATGCTAAAAAGTTGATACTGAAAGCGCATTTCACCTGAAAAGCAGGTTGAATGGTAGTAGGCCTCCTACATTCCTGCCTTTGCCCTGTGATGGATGAATTACTTGTCAGTGGTTAGGCTGTGTCTGCTTACACCAGTTTGTAAAATGGGTACAACACGCAGTTACAGAATGTATATTGCAGATACAAATTTATTTCAACAAAAACAGCACCACAGAAGTGAGTCATTGGCAACAGAAGATTGTGAAAAGATTTGCAATAGGTTTGAGTACATCTTTAACTCGCTTCGTTTTACTTGCTCTAAAGTCAGCTGATGTCCTAAAATACTTAATTTACAGGATCCCACTTAGTCCCCAGTGCCTAAGACCGTTGAGACCTAGAAGGCATTTCCAACAGTCAGTAGTTTGATATTGTTTGACTAAAGACTCACCCTGACCTCTCATTTTCTTATTAATCTTTAGTCTTCAAAAAAATACCACTTGGAAGATACTGTTTGGTGATAGCTAAATGAGGAGTGTATATATACATATTTGAGGACATAAATAGGTTTTGCCACTGATTGATAGACCTGAATTATAGTGTTTACTGTGTAGACAAGAGCCTCATAATTTACAGGATATGAGCAAGGCAAATACAAGACAGCCTTAGAAGGAAAGCGCTCTGCGCATATTTAGTTATTATATATCATTTTAATATACCAAATAAGACTGAATCTTTGATCTTCTTTCAAATACACTCTTTTTTTTCTTCTTTGATCTATCCTCCCATTTGTCTTCTTGCCTAAGCAAAAATCTCTTAAAGCCATTAACATCCCTGACCTCTGCCTACTGTCCTCCACTCTCCTCCCCCGACCAGAAAGACATGTAATTTTCCAAGCCTTCCTGGGCAGTGATTTTAGCCAAAGACGGACACTTCTGCCTGGTCGATGTGAGGCTGTTGCTCTTTGATGTGATACTTTCTCTGTGCTGATGTGGTTTCTTTGCTGTGTTTGTCTGTGCCTATTCCTGTTCTATTGCTTCGCTTTCCGGACTCGCAGTTACCAAACTGTTCCCTGTACCTGCTTTGTGTAGTCCCTCACCCAGCTCCATACACCGCTTTCTTCACTCAGCTTTTGGAAGGGTACTGGGGGGTGTACTGTCACTTCATACAACTACCTGAAAAGGAGCATGGAGCCAGGAGGTGGGTGGTCTCTTCTCCCAAGTAACAAGTGGGAGGACAAGAGGAAACGGCTTCAAGCTGCGCCAGGGGAGGTTTAGACTGGAGATTAGGAAAAACTTTTTCACCAGAAGGGTTATCAAGCACTGGACCAGGCTGCCCAGGGCAGTGCTGGAGTCACCATCCCTGGAAGTGTTCACAAACCGTGTAGACAAGGCTCTCAGTGACATGGGTTAGTGGTGGCCTTGGCAGTGCTGGGTGAACAGTTGGACTTGACCATCTTAAAGGTCTTTTCCAACCTACTTGATTCTATGATTCCCACCACTGTGAGCTTTTGAGCGGAATATCGGCACATCCTGAGCAGAATGTTGTTGAAAGCCAACTGTGTGCAGCCCTGGAGGAGCAGAGACCCAGCTGGCTGACCTGTTTGTCAGGCTCTTCCCTTTCATGGTTATTTACTTATTTATCCTGTGCCTCCTTTCCCACCCCATCTCCTCTCTCAGGATATGCAGTGACAGCAGGTCATTTCTCCCAGCCGACTACCACGGACGTTGTAGGAGGAGCTCCCCAGGATGGAGGCATCGGAAAGGTGCGGCTTTTTCTCAAACAATGATGTGGTCAGATGCAGTGGGGCAAACCCAGCAGGTTTTATGCAGTTCCCACATGTCTGAGAAGCCAAGAGATTTTTGCATACAGGGTAGTTTTGGAGCACTGAGCAGTGGAGAGGTGAGGTGGTTTGATGAAGTCATCAACCCTCTCTTCCCTCTGTCTCCCACCCAATCCTTACCGTAGTTACTTTTAACAAGATACAGGCAACATTTGTTTCACACTGCTTTTGTTTAGGATTTGTAACATATAATATCACTTAAACCTTTCCTGGAAATGAAAAAAACCTGAAATAAAGAGTTTGTCTTCTGCTTGTTTTCTTCATGCATTTGACTATTTCAGTATTTACTTCAGGGTAGCATCTCTAGTAGCATGAAAAGCCATTTACCAGGTGATTTGTTGTCCCTCTTAAAACTTCATAATACACTGAGGTTTAGTGGACTAGAATCTGGGTTTCTGCCAGCTGTACTTCGAAATCTTGGTGATAGGCTCTTGAGAAGGGCAAAAAAACCCCCGCATGGTTTTCGGGTAGGCAGATACATGTTTGATGTCCCAAAGGCGTAAGCAAATGAATGGCTAGGCGGAAATGGCTGGTGAGTTAGGTGTGCCTGGTGTTCCTGTGCTGAGTACTCAGCTGTTATCAGGGGAGCCAGCTGAGAGTGAGTGCTGTGACTCGTATACACCTCTGAAACACAGGTGGAAAGAGGGAGGAAACAGATATAAAGGATCTGCTTTTGTCTGTTGTCACCATGTGCTAGAGCAAAGATGTCCAGCAGACCCCTTCCACCTTTGGCCCTCTGGCTCTTTTCTAGAAGGACATGAATTGGTGTGGAGTGTCTCCACTACCATGAGGAGTGAGAGGTCTCCACTACCGTGAACACTCGTCCCTGCTTTAGACAGGTTATTTTTAGTAGTAACCATGTCCCAGAAGGTAGCAGCACAAGTGGAGAAAATGGAATAAAAGCGGAGGATGAATTTGGTACGTTACCTGATCTGGCATGACTAGGATATATGGGATATAGTAGCAGTGCAGTTGCTGCTGAGTGGACATGTACATGGGAAAGACATAGTTTCCTTATCCCAGGTGCTCTGTTACGGCTGCTCTAATGCACCTTCCTTACAACCTGTTTTCCTGGTAGAACAGATTTAATTACTGTACAAGGAGGGAGAAAGAACCAGTTGCTAATGTGAGATCCATGAGAAAACAGCTGATCTTGCAGTTTAAAAGACTGCTGCTCTAGTTGCAAAAGCTCCTGTTATCCTCCCTTGGCATGGGATGTGGGTAGCAGGAACACATGGCAAAGGGACAGTAAGAGGTGTTGAGTACAGGACATTACGCTGAGCAGTCCTGTTGTACTTTCCTCTCTCTCTAATAAGCTAATCCTTTCCACTTCCCTGATAGAAAGTGATTAGCATTGTGACACCCTTTTCACTGAAGGTAAAGCCAAGATTCTTAACGAGACTGAGTCATTTCTCCAAAGTAACTAAGAGTGTCATTAGTTAAGGCTGGGTTTGGAGTTGTGGCACCTGGCATCATGCTCTTGCTGCTCTACATGCCACTGCAAAAACCCAGGGAGTCCTTTACATCTAGAGCAATAGTCTGCAGTAAATCTGTGTTGTGTTCTTGGCTGAAAACAGCTTTGAACTTGGTCTCGGCACCTATTAATAACTTGCCACATAATCAACCGTGCCAAGTGCTTGGCTCTGCCACGTGGCCTTGGAAGTAAGGATCCTCTGTCCTCAAACTGTGTGAGCACCTGCTAGGAGGGAGGCTGTCAAATGCTGGAGTAGTCTCAGAGGCTGATGGAGCCAGCCTTGCTGTCAAAGGGAGCCCCTTCCTACAAGCCGTAAATTTTAGGCCATAAATTTTGGTACAAGATCCGTTATAGAGCTCATATCAATATTTTTATCCCTAGGAGTTCCTGATTAAACAGCTTCTTTTGTGGAAACGAGTAACGAGGGAACTATGTTTTGAATAGCTTTCTGATTTACAGATTGTTTCAGACAGAAACAGTGCAAATGACTTGGGTGGTCTGATTGGGATTTCTACTCTGACCTGTGCTAAAGCATCATGAAGTTTGCAGTGCAGTATGTGCAGGCATATGTCTTTGTGAAAGGAAGGCTGCACAAGGGAAGGGAAGCAGTTTTTGCCTTCTCAGCCTTTTGCCATTTCCAGGCAGCCTCCAAATGCCACTTGTTTGGGAGTTGGAAAGTTCCTTTACTACTTGCTTTTAAATATATAAATACGCACCAAAAAAAGCAGGTGACAAGATATTATTCAAGCATGTTTTACAACTAGAGGCCTGTAATTCAAAAGGAAAACGGGGAACAATATGTTTTGTCTTTTGAAAGAAGGCTGAGCAATAAAGTGGTCATGAAATTGGATCTTGGCAATAGCAATGGCCATGATCATGATTTGGATATTTAGAAAGCAACAGTGCTGCACCATTATGTGCTTCACAGTTAGTATTGATTAACTTCTTTATTTTCTCACTTTTCAGGTTTATATATTCAGAACAGACAGACTATCAGGCTCTCTGGTAAAGATTTTTCAGGCTTCAGGAAAAAAGGTGAGCTTTTATGTATGTGTGTTTTCTTCTAAGTGGAAGAGAAGGGGAAATAGTGGCAAACAATGGCAGGGTTATCAGTTGGCAGAGCATCATTATCAGATGGCAGAACATCATTTTCATTCCACTGCTTCAAGAGCTGTCAAGCAAATTCTGTTCCTTCTTTTCATCCCTGAAGAGCTAAACCTACTGTGGAGACAAGCTGTATGCCCTTCCTCCTGTAGCAGTCGTGACTGCAATGTCTGCTCTATGCCACATGGCTGAAATGAAAGGTCTTGCTGAAAATTGTACTAGTGGTTCTGTTTTGCCTTATGCAGCTGTAGCAGCACCTTCTGAGATGCTGGATGTGGGGTGCATGGTGAGCCTACACACAGAGATTTCCTCTTAGTAGATGTTCCTGGGAAATGTGGGTAGCCTGGAGCTTAGTGTGATACAAAATCCCCAATCTGTTTTCCTGTGTGACAGGGGGAGTTATGATGTTTTATGGAGGAGCAGCTTCATTACCTCAAGAGATTGCAATTTCCCCCTTCCCACCATGAATCAGTTCTTCCTTTTGCTCTTGCTGAACTGCACTCCCCATGAATTTTAGTGGATGCTAGTGAGATCCAGCTCCCTCTCTGCATGCAGTGTCGTGTTTGAGGGGGCAACAGCTTCTGTTCTTCATTAGGGGCTTGTATGTGTTGCAGGGGAAATGGAGGTACATCTACCTATAGGTAACAATAAAAAGCTCTGTTTGGGAATAACACAGTGAGGAGTGATACCCCTTACCTGGGGTTGTCTGTGTTCTCCTGGAAGGTGAGGAAATACAGAAGACAAAGGTTACTGGTGGCTTCTGGCTGTGGGAAGACCTGCTACTCTCAGGCAGATCTGAAGTGTTTGACTGGGATCAAGTTGGGAGTGTTAGCATGTTTTGTTGTTTTTTCCCAACAAAACACAGTTGCAGTCTTTAAAAACACACCTGGAACAGGAGAAAACTTCAAGGCTGTGTAAGGGGATGGTGTGAGTTGTATTTTAGGGCCTCTCCAAAATTAGTCTTTCTCTGCGCTAGCAGAATTGAAAGCATCTTGAAAGGAAAGGACCTCCCAGTTCATCCAGGGCATCTCCTGTGTTTGATTGCTTCCTGTTCATTTCTTTCCCTGTTGACTTTTAAATGTCCCTAAGGATATGCTGCTGGAGAACTATTCCTCAGCGTAATAAACAGAGCTATCAGGAAGTTTCCAGGTCTCAGCCAAAATCTTTCCTTTTTCATTCAGTTGTGTAATATGTAACTTAAATAATCAAGTATTTACATCCTTCAAATACTTCTAGGCTGTCATCTCCTCCTTCCCCATTAACATCTGCCTTCTACAAATTCTCTGCAATCCAAATGAAAACTTCAGTTGAAAGAGAAATCTGTCCTGAATCATCCTTCCTTTGGTTTGTAATTGAGATATAACCAGACGTGCTCAGCAATGAGCCCTGCCTGGAAATAAGCTCTCACAAAATGCTGCGTCCTTCCCTGTGGTGTGAAAGTTCATTGTTCTGACATTCTTGTTGGACAGAAGTTTAAAGCAGGCCAGTTTCTTCAATCCCTTTTTCATTGCTGGAGGCTGAGCTAGGAAATCAAATACGGACAAGAAAATAGAGAACACAGTGCCTTGTTATACATGTTAAGTGAACAAACATCAGGTTCTCACAGCACTGTGAACTCACCCACGCTGCAGACATACCATGTTGCAGTCAAGTAAATAAGAGCCTTGCCCAGAAAACTGCCTGAATACATAGTGAAATGCTTCTCATATCTTTCGCTCCTTACCCATGAGAAATCTGTTGTAAAACCTTAGTGGATTAAAAAAATAAACAAACAAAAAATCCACAAGGGAACTTAAGCTACAAAATAACTGGCATCAAATGATGTTTGAGGTCTGACCTTAAACCCACAGAAACACAGAAATCTGAATTACAAACTGAAACTCTATCCTTAACTCACCCCACTGTATGTATTTAGCAGCTTTTAAACCTTATGGACTTCATAGAACAGAGGTGCTGCTGCCCATCTTCTGTATGCCCAGTAGCTCTTGCTGGTGCATCTAGATTTATCAGGTGTAGAAGGCAGTGGGTCAGAGATCCACAATGAGGAATGTAAAAGCACGCACGATATGTGATTCATTCTTTTTAATCTAAATGTTTCTCTAACCTCAATCTTTCCTACTACGTGAACAGCTCTCAATTTTGAGTAAGAAGTGGTATCTTTCCAATTTTCCCGTGGAAGTTGCTTTTAATTTTGAGGCTATGGTTATGTAGATGGTCTCAAAGAGTACTCAAAGGTACCTTAGGAGCAGTGGATGAAATAAGGGTGGAGTATCATTCTTGCTTTTGGTCTCCGTTTTGTGTTTAAATGTGTTCTGAAATTTGTAATCACAGAATCCTGGTTTGGGTTGAAGGGACCTTAAAGCTCCAACACCTGCCACGGGCAGGGACACCTTCCACTAGAGCAGGTTGCTCCAAGCCCCTGTGTCCAGCCTGGCCTTGAACACTGCCAGGGATGGGGCAGCCACAGCTTCTCTGGGCACCCTGTGCCAGCGTCTCAGCACCCTCAGAGGGAAGAGCTTCTTCCTAATGTCTAATCTAAATCTCCTCTCTGTCAGCTTAAAGTTATTCCCCCACTGCATGTCCTTGTGAAAAGCCCTTTGCCAGGTTTCTTGTAGATCCCTTCTAGGCACTGGAAGACTGTTATAAGGTCTCCCCTGAGCTATTAAGGTCCCCTGAGTTATAAGGTCTCACCCTGTAATGTGGGTGCTGGTTGGGAGACTGTTAGCATTTACTGTTAACACATATCAAAAATTAAGTAGTGAAATTAATGTATTCCTTAAAGTTAAGCAATTAAGTTTTCTCAAGCAACAAGAACTGGAGATTGAGAGTGGCTTAGGTTTTTTGTGTATCAACTAAAAAGCTTTTATTGAAACTCTTTCTGTGTCAACTCACTTGCCTGTACATTCGAGGAAAGGCTATTACCAAACCCCACAACCAGTTCTGCTATTTGAAGGTGACTGGTACAAACAGATAGAGCAGGGGAAGCCAGACCACAATCAGGAGGTAATTTTAGATGCCCCTTTCGTGGGTATCCTACCTCTAGCCTACTTTTCTTTTTTTCTTTTGTTTCTTTAACACATCCCCAGAAGATCTGGGGTTCCCAATTTCAAGTCTCTTTAGGAAATCTGGCACTGGGCATGAATAATCACTTGCCAGGCCTTGGCTTGGGAAACTTATTTCACTCCTTCCTGGTTTTAAGCAATTGACAAGTGAAAGCTAGTCTAAGAAAGCTCTTTAAGTGTCTCACTTAAGCATGTCCCAGGGTATTAAGGTATAAATTTAATTCTTTTGTTAAAACATCCAAGCTGATGCACTGTTACGGTAAAGTGTTTAATTCCTGCCAGAATTATCCCCTAAGCTTTCTCTGTAGGAGTGCTTGTGAGTGATAAAGCAGCAAGCCATCATTTGAAATGAAAGCAAGAAAACACACCTAAATGATTTCCTCCTGTGTGTGGGCAGATACTGAATGCTTTGTTGTGACTCGGCTTGGTTACAGATGGGCTCTTACTTTGGCTCCTCCTTATGTGCAGTTGATCTGAACTCTGACGGGTTGTCAGACCTGCTGGTCGGAGCACCTATGTTTTCTGAGATCAGAGATGAAGGTCAAGTCACGGTCTATATCAACAGAGGAAACGTGAGTATGGACAGGAGATGGCTTGGTAAGGGATGAGGGTGTGGGTGCGGGCAGGGTAACACTAACGTCCTTCCAACACTCTATGGAGAAACTTGATGTGTCAAGTAGTGGGGCTCTGGGTGTCTGTAGCAGAAGAAGTCACGGAAAACTCATCTGGTGTCATGGTTTCCCAGACACCAGCCTGCATTCATCACAGAGCTGTGAATCTTTTAAGGAGGTCTGGGGAAGTTTCTGGTTTTATGTTGAAACTCGGTGGTATTTGTGGCTTTATATGAATCTGATGCCAAAACCAAGTAGGAGTCAGCAGCTTTGACTGAATTCCCTTTGTGTTTTGGGTGGTCACTAAGACCTACAAATTAGAACACAAATGCCTGGGGACTTAGGAGACCTTGTGAAGAGAAACCAGAGGTTAAATTCACATTATCTTTACATTATGCCTCATATAGAGATGTTAGGGGAAGTTCTTACCAGCTGGTATTGTTGGATTTTACATGACTAAACAATAGCCTTGGAAAAGCCTGAACTTTCTTGCATCATCAAAACAAGATCATTCTTATGTTGTATTTATAGGAAAACAATGGTCGTTTACAGATTATTAAATACTTAATGTTCAGGTCCCAAACTTGCTGCATCAAACCAGGAGTTGTTATGGACTAAAATGAAATGGGTTTGCTTCACCAGTATTATGTGGACTTTAATGTATGAAGTTTGTTTATGCTAGGATTACCGTTTATCCCAAGTCCTATATGCAGCATTTGGGAGACTTCAGAATCACTTCTGGTGTAACTTTATTTTCTGTTATTACTCCTCTTTTAAATGAGCTTTACTTTTCCAGTTTGATCCCCAGGCTGTCCCAGCAGTGTTGCTGCAGGATCTTCAGGATAGGGTGTAGAATGCCAAGCAGATAATAGCCATCATTTCCTGCTTGCAGTGAGAGTGTGCAGGAGTTCATTCTTCATCTTATAAAACAGTCAAGAAGCTAGTAGGAGTTTCTTATACTCCTACAGCACAAATTACTTGCAGGAGCAATGGCTTGCAGGATGCTGGGTTTTATTTTGGGGTTTGGACATTTCAAACTCCGTTTCATTCTGCAAGCACCATTGTCGAAGAGGTTGCTGCAGCAGATCAGAGAAACTGCTTTATCATACAAGCATGCATAGTGGTGATAGGCTTAATACACTTATATTTGCCCTTTCCTGAGAGGACTGCAGAGAAACGAGTCACGCATACAGGCCTGTCCCCTCTTTGTTGTGTTTCAATTTCATTATGTGGGGTTTTCTCAAAGTCAGCAAGTCCCCGCAGCCAAGTAAAAGATTTTATTACATGTTCCAGAGGGCAGTTTACTCTCATTCACAAAGGAAGCAAAACCAAACCAAAACAACCCTGGAGGTGGGTACAGAGTTATATTGCATAACTAAATTTTGTTTTCTTGTGGCAATGTTCCTTTCCCCTTGAGGGAAGACAGCAAGAAACTAAAACCAATGTATCTGACCAGAAAGTGGGTGGGCAAGAAATACCAGATTCCTACAAGGCTTCTCATGGCACGGGAGTACAAAACTTTACTTTGAACTTTCCTCTGTCCCTTTATTTCATTAAATCTCTTTCCTTATTCTTCATTTCAGAAGGCTTTTTGGGGACTTTGCTTTAATCCTTCTGTCCAATACTTAAAAAGTTTTCAAATCCATTTGCTCAAATGTTCTTTGCTTAGCGGAAAATTCTCCTTCTCTCACTGGAGTTTAGTTTGACTAAGTCTGGACTGAGGATTCTGCTCCTCGGATATAGTCCACCAGTAGAGCAAGCCCTGGGCTGTTGGGTTTTAGGCATCTGGAATCCTTCATGAGCTCACCAAGCCCTATGACTGCATTTCGTTACATCACTGAGTTTAGTTAATCTAGTGTTTTAGTTATATCACTCCTGCAACTCCTTTTTCTTCCCTCTCCCCCTCAAACTGAAAGACAGAAGGTTAAAAACCCAAATAAATTAGATTCCCAGCACCTGGGTGATCCGTGCGAGCGAGGGCAAGAGTCAGGCTGCAGCTGTGCCCAGGTGCTTCCCACTGCATGGACGGCTCCCGTGGGAAGGCTTGCCTCATCCAGGGCTCGCACCGTTTCCCTTACCCTGTTTTATTTCCTGCTTGCCTAGGGAGTGCTGGAAGAGCAGCTTATCCTGGATGGTGACAGCGCCTACAACGCGCACTTTGGGGAGAGCATGGCTGCGCTTGGTGACATTGATGACGATGGATTCCCAGGTCGGTGTGATTTCTTCCTGAAGTGCCAGCAGGACTGGTGGCACTGCTGGTCTCCTTGCATGGCTGAGTGCTGTGTGGCATCCATTGCTCCTTCAGGGCCATGCTAAGGATAAGTGGGCTTGTGTAGGATTTGTCTGCTAAAGCCTTTTGTAGCTGATTGTCCTTTATGTGGGATTAGTCCATGTCCATGCAGCTCACACTCCAATCACATTAATGGTGCTTTGCTTTCCTTGCTGTTGCATTTTCTTCTTCCCTGGGTTGTTTATAAAAGGCTCTAAATACCCATGCCCTGAAAAAAACAGACTTCTTTCCTATTTTTTATGTCTTCACACCTTTCCAGTTTTGACAACATAATTGTGTTTCTTATCATGAAGTGTAATAAAGCAGTAGCTTCTCACTTGTGATAACACATACTCTATTAATTATTTCTTTCCTTTGCTTTATACTACCCCTGCTCCGTTTGCAGGCTGCTCAGTGTGAGGCCCCATGCAGTGATAGCAATAGGTGAGAGCAAAGTGTTGATGTTGGCACCTTTTCTGCCCTGAATTCTGGCAACACAGATTAAGGGCTTCCAAACAAAGGCGACTTGCTCAGTGCATGCCTGGATTTATTTCTTCCAGGCCACTCGGGGTGTGGTATCCCACTAAGCCTAACCCAACCTCATTGCAGGTTGCCCTCACAAATGGTGGGCATGCTCTTCTGCATTTGGACATGCATTTGTATGTTCTTATTGTTGCTTGTGGATCAGTTGTGATGATGGAGAGACTGCGGAGTGAGTCCATGGGTATGAGGCCATTGGGAAGAGTTTAATTTTAGCAGCTGTATAGTCACTAAATCCAACTAGATGAGGAGAATGGGAGGTGGGATCACCCTTTCTGCAGGAGTTTGCAGTTAAGTTGGATCAAGTGTAATCTGAACCTGCATCCTCAGCAGCCTTTCTTTTTTTCTTCCTGCTTATCCATTTGTTATACCTAGCCTCATTTTGGATTTGGATTTTCCAGCAAACTTAATGTAGTGTAGTGCTACAATAAACGCTTTGCCAGTGCTGTCTTGGTTCACAAAGCTGATGTTCCCCTGGCTTGGAGACTTTGGTATGAAGGGATTCTAAAATAACTTTTTAAGCATGGTTTCTGGTTAAAAAACACACATTTTCACACACATGACAAGCACACGTTTCTAATTAGGCACAACGTAGCCACGTGTGTGTAAGAATTCATATACAGTTGTGTGGTTTTTAAAGTTTATCTTAACGTGAGCTCTTCATTAAATCAAACAAATCCCTTCTAGCCAGGTTCACATGAGCTGCTGATCATCTTTGTCATGGGGAGCTATTTTCCTATGGATAGCTGGCTTCTAAAATCGGGAAAGGTTTGATTAATGGAATGGATCGTGAAATGTTTATAATCTGTACTGTTTTGCAGATGTTGCCATTGGAGCGCCTAAGGAGGATAACTACATAGGAGCAGTGTACATTTACCATGGGGATGCCAATGGTATTGTACCTCAGTACTCTATGGTATGTGACACTATTGTTTGTGATATCTATCTGAAATCACTTTCCCTGCACCCGCAGAAATAAACCATATTTAGGGGTCCCTTTATAGGTAACCTCATCATAGTTCTACATCTTTCTCTCAAACAAACTTCTCCCAAAGTTTGTCCATGCTGTAGGGTAAAATTATGTTAGGAGATATTTTTTCGTTGTCTTTTGTTACAGTTATCAGCTGTAGCTTCCTTCTTGAAGCAAATAAAGTCTTAGGGTTTGAATGTCTGGTTTTAGAGATAGTACTAGTGCAGAGGAGAAATGAAAACCATGGAAAGGTTGAGCATACAAACCATGGAGAGGCCAGTGGGGAGTTGGGAGGTTGCATTTTCCTCCTGCGGAAGCAGACATGATGAGAAGGAAGAGGTAGTAAGTTTTCTTTGTGCCCTGCAGAAGCCTCTTTACTCATCGTGCTGGCCCTCTCCTTGTGATGTGACAATATATCACAAGCCTGTTCTTGGGTGCCATTCACCTGGCCATTATTATAAAGTAAAATCTCAGCTAGGATACACTATATAGCATCTTGTGCAGAGATGACACAGTTCAATTTAGCTACTGCAGCCAAGCAGTAGAGAACATAAATTTATGCTCCTGCTGCCCAACATGTGTCCCTAGTCTCTGTCTAGCATATTCCTTTTTTTTTCAGAGAGCCTGAATCTTCCCTCCTTCTGTGTGTCTGAAGTTCTGGTTGTTTTGTTTTGTTGCTGGGTGGGATCCTTCACAATAAATCAGTTCAAGCAGAATGAAGAAGTTTAGTGGTTATACTGGAGACTCTTCTAACAGACCATGGAGGTTTAGTCCTTCTTCCTTTTACCATGTACATGCCATGTGCTGCTTTCTTTAAAAAAGAAGGGAAGTTAAATGACTCTTTATGGATACTTCTGCAATGTCTAATGTGTGGCATGTGGAGGATTCTGCCTGTTTCTTGCGGAGAGCCCCTGGTTGGGAGGTTCTTCTTTGGCTGTTGAAAAATCTGGAGCTTTCCAGCTCTCCTGAAAAGGATGAGATTTTGATTTTTTTTTAATATACATATTTTTTTTGCCCATTCATGGGAAAATGTTACATTTTTTAATGAGGCCAGATCAGCAGGGTGGGAAGCAAAACATCCTGCTTGTGATCTCTCCTTCTCCACTGGAGCAAGGCCAGCAGACATGGCTCTGTGTGCTTCTGCACTTGGTCAGTGGGATAAAGCCCAGCTCAAGAGGGTGGTCATTGACTCTTGACAGCACTGCTATCGCTGTCCCATGCCATAGGGCAGCCGAGGGAGCACCACTTATGGGCAGGGTCTCTCTGCTCTTTCCCAGTGTCTGTTGCAGGGCACCACACACACCACTGGTTCATCTCCCACATGCAACCAAAAGAGCTGTGTAACAGCTTCAGCTCTTTGCCTACCTGTCCTGGATTTGAACCCAAAGAAAGACTTTTTGTATCTTGATACTATACCCCTGAGCCATCTTAATGCCCTGGATTTCCCTTTTTGAATAAGCTGAGAAAGGTGGACAAGGGCCTGTGGGGTCTATCTTTTCATCATTTGCAATTTGTTAGCTTTTTCCACTTACTTTTCTTCGTTAAGTTGCTCATTCAGTATTGTTCCCTTACGTCCCTTTAGTGACTTTAGTGGTGACTATGAGCAGAAGCAGCTTAATTGGCTTTGTGGCCTGCTGTTTTTCATTCGTGGCACTTAAAAGCAGAGCAGCATTATACCTCTGCCTTCTAGGTCATAATAGCCTGCAGATGTCCACTGGGATGTTTGCAGGCAGGATTTACCACCCTAACTGGGACCCCCCGAAGAGGTGATGCAAGTATAATGGAAGGGAGGAAGTTACTTCCAGTTGTCTTAATCTTATCTGCCCATGAGTAGGAAAAGGAGATCTTGAATGGTGGGGCACTGGTTTCCCTTCAAACTGGCTGTAAGGACTGCAGGATATCTTCTTCCCCTAAACTTGTCTTTTTTCCATGAATTTCCTGTCTGATCTTTTGTCCAGTATTATTCCCTTTTATGGGAGGGCCAGGAAAAGCTGGTCACATGTCACAAGCTGTGAAGCACCACCAACAGCCTCAGAATTACTTCATGGGCTAGGTTTCCTCTGTCTGTAACTTCTGTAGTCAGACGTTGACTCAAGTTCAGGTCTTGCGTTGGTGGCCCGGCATAATGAATGGGAGCTGGGAGGCATCTGATTCCCTTCTTAGAAAATAGGATTTTGATATATTAATTTGCTTCAGACAAAGACATTTAGAATCCAAAACATTCAGAGAAAGTTTTTGTGTCAGTAATTAAAATAAAAAAAAAGCTATGTTCGAAGTTAATTAAGCTTTGTGTTAGGGAGGCAGAAATGAGATACAGCTTCCAGACTGACACAAAATATTGCATAATTGCTGATGGAAACCAGAATTACCAAGTGAGATGAAAATTAATCATTTTGACATCGCGTATGCTCGCAAACTTTGTGAGAAGGAATGGTTGTGCAGGATTTTCTGTTTCAATTAAGCATTAATTTTGCTAAGATGCCACTTAAAATCTGTACTTACAGAAATTAAGGAAATGAGGGGAAAAAAAGAAAGTTAAATTCCATCTTCCCTCCCCCCCCCCCAAAGAAATTTGTTTTTTATTTCATTTGGGTTGTAATGCAGGTGTGTTTTTTAATCCAAGTCAACACTGGCCTCCTCCTAGCCCAGAGCAGAAGGGCTTCCTGCAGTCGACAGCCTTCCTGCTCATGGCTGCATGGGTGAAGTGTGAGCATGCAGATGTGCAGCGCTTCCGGCACACAAGAGAGGCTTCCAGTGACCCTGAAGATCAGGCTTGAGGGGTTTTTTTTAGGGTTTGGATTGATTCATTTATTTTTAGAGGATTCTTTTTGTTACTGACTGATTCCACTCATGTGTTTTCTGCTGCAGAAGCTGTCCGGGCAAACAATAAACCCAATGCTGAGGATGTTTGGCCAGTCCATATCAGGGGGAGTCGATATGGATAGCAATGGTTATCCAGGTATGTCTGCTGCTGGGGAAATGCAGCAACAGGCTGAGCAAACAGTGGAGCTGGTCATTTCCGGATTGCTGGGTCCTGCCATTGCAGGAGGCTGATGAAGCTGAACTTTTTCTTCCCTTTCCCCTCTGTTATTTGAAGCTCCTGATAAGAATTTGAGCCGATCATTTAATTCATGTGTTTGGGCAGTAATGATGAAGGATTGAGATGCTAAAGCAGAGGATTCTTGTGAATCCGAGCTCACTGGTGATTGTGTTGCATGAACTGTGTTCCCAATTTTTTGTGACATGTTGAACCAAATCGGGACATTAAGAAAAGGCTTTTCACTAAGAGGGTGGTTAGTCACTGGAACAGGCACCCCAGGGAAGTGGTCACAGCACTAAGCTGGTCATGAGGCACTTTTAATCATGTTTAGTTTAGTTTTAGGTAGACCTGTGAGGATCAGGGAGCTCGACTCAATGATCATTAATGGATCCCTTCCAACTTGAGATATTCTGTGATTCTGTTGTATGATTTCAGTATCTCTCTAAGGTTGTACGTTTCTTGAAAGCTGCTCAGTCATGATGACAATGTTAAAAACAAAGAGGAAATGAGAATAGTAATAATAATAAAAATCAAGCAATGAAGTAGAAGTAACGACACAGACCTAATCCTCCAGTTATAATGCTTGTGACATAATGACGTTTGAAGGGACCAACTGGCTGATTTGAGTCAGGAAAATGGTTTTTAAAAATCTATATGCTCTGTAATTTAGCGACTGATTTGTGAGAACTGAAGCCTATGTCTCCTTTGTAACTGTTCTCAATGTTACGAAAATTTCAGATATGACTGTTGGAGCCTTCTTGTCAGACAATGTGGTACTTCTGAGGTGAGATGAATGTCTTTTTTATCTGCTGTTGTCTTCTTTTTGTCTGTTTTCTGCTTTTATCTTACGTGCTCTAAGTCCTGACCCAGTCCAATTTTCTGCCTTGTTTACTGTGTTCAGAAGAAGGAAGCTGGATTACTTTTTAAGCAGATCCTTAGACATGGATAACATCAAAGAATTTATACAGCTCAGTGAGAGATGGTAATACGTAGGACACCCAGGGCTATGAAGAAGACAAAAGGTTAGAGCTGGAAGAAGATGTGCTGCATCTTAGTGCCTCTTTAGAAAGGTTGCTCTGAATTTGAGAGAAGGCTTTTTTATTGTTCTTACATTTACATAAAGTAAATAAATTATGATTTAAGGGAACACAGTTGAGTAACAAGCCAGCTGTGTATGATGCCAGGATGTAATTTTGCAAGTTATAATGGGACTCAGAATGAAATAGGAGTCTTCAGGGAAATGAAATACAAAGTCATTTTCAATGCGTGCAGGATTTTGGCTGCTCTTTCAAGTGTATGAGTTAAGTGCAATTGCTTGTTCCATCTGATGGAGAGAGGCGTGATAGTTTGGTTCAGCAAGTTATGCAGAGGGAGAGTTAAAGTAGGAGTGGGCTTGAGATGCACAGACCTGGGGAAGAGAATGAGAAGTTTGAATTTTGCCAGTAGCTCCATTGTTACACTTGTTAATATTTAATAGCAAAATCCTGTCAATACCTAGATGTCATTAGAAGCAGAAGTCACTAGGGGCTCCTGCATCTTAATGGAAGATACAGGGATGTGATGAGACTGGCAAGACAAATGCTGGAGCTGCGAAATGGCTGTGCCAGCCTGCTTTCTGCTCAAGGCAGGAAAAACTTGACTCTGTTTCCATTAGAATTAAATAAAACAAAAGGAAAAAGGAGAGAGGGAAAGAAATGATCTGATGGTCAAGTCTTCTGAAGTGTTTTCTGCTACTTCATCATGCACATGTGCCTTCCTCGGATGGGATCTTGCAGCCCCACATCTCTGAAACTGCCAGCAAGAAATCCGTGTTCTTCTCCTGCCTTGTTACTTGCAGGAGGGGAAGGCAACCTGAAAGGCTTGCTGTGATGTTTAAAACAACATACGTTGCAACAGCATGATAACCTCTGTCCGTGCGTTCATACTTGTGCATTTCAGAGGAAATCAGTGCATTACCAACGGACTGTGGGCAGCCTGATTAGTTGCTGCTACTGCTAATTTACAGCGAGTCCCTCTTTCTGTTTGGATTCAGGGTAGGATAAAGAAGTCAGCTTTTTCTCTTTTTCCCTCCTCATCCTTCTAGAAGCCTTCATGAAGCTCTTTTGCCAAAACCAGCAAAAGTTTTGCCAAGTGATATTAAAGGCTTTGGTGGAAGCCGCGGTGACTTGGGGCAGATTGTTGTCGTAGTGCTCGTGTGTTTGTATGGCCATTTGACAGATCCAGTGCTTTTTTTCCCCCCAGTGAATAACCAAGGCAGCTAGTGTTAAGGAAAAATCACACAGTGCATCATGGCTGGAGGAGTATTTTTTTCCTAGGAGAAATGTTTTTCTAGATCAGTTCATAGCATTTACTCTTTGTCTCCCCAAGCATTTGGAAAGAGGTGGTTTTTTTCCAAAGGTGTGAAATGATCCTAGGAAGCTCACTCTTCCCTCCTCCCCGTTACTGTATATATTTCTAGGGTTAGCATTTATCTTCATCCTCCATCTCAGAATGAGAACTTACACTGTTATTTCAGGCTGCGGTAAAAGAGTCTGAGCAGCCATCTCAGAGATTGATGTAAATCTTGTTCCAGTCAATATGAATTAGGTGTAACCACAATCCCTGCTCTCTTCTCCCCCCTCTCCCCTGCCTCTAAATTAAGTGGCTTATGGAGTGAGAGTCCTGAAGTGGTTTACTTAAGTGGTCTGGCCTCGCACGGCTGCTGGGACTACTTTAGAAGTGAATCTGCTGGTTGCTGCACATTTTTTTTTCACTGGTGGAGTTAGTTTTGGAAGAACACGTTCATGTTGAACATGCACAGAATTAAAACCATGAAGAAAAACACTGAATTTTTGGGCTGAAGTCCTGCTCTGGGGATGCTCAGGCCAGCCTGGGTTTCTGGGCTGCTTTTCCCAACCAATCTGGCAGGGCTACTGTGTTGTGTGAGAGAGGAGACCCACCTAGGCTCTGATGGCACTTGGCTTGCTCTCTAAGGTCATCTTCAGCTGGGAATAGTCACAGCAATAACTGTGTGCCAGAGTTGCAAGGGCAGAAAGCTTTCGTTCACAGTGCACTCCTGAAACAGAGGTCAGAGGCTTCAAGAGAGGATTCAGTCCTTACCACTCACTAGAAGGAAATAAGCCGAATGTTCCCTCCTCCAGAAAACATGAATGTGGTGTCTCTTGTCCCTCTTACACTGTCAGAAAAAATACGTATGAATTATGTATCTCCTGTCCCTGTGCTCCCTCTTTGACTTTCAGGTAACAAATTCGACTGCAGACCATTCTCTGGAAACCTTAGGTCTCTATCTACCTGTTCCTGACCATCCAAGCTGCTTAGCAAGCAGTCTCACTTGCATGATCCTGTCCTTCGTTGCTGTTGTGCTGCTAATTTTGTTATTTGTGATGATTACTATTATACATTATCAGTTTACCCCGCTGCCTGCTTGCAGTCTGTATCTGAGCATTGCACCTCTAGCTGATGTTACAGTTTTCACTCAGATGCTAGTAGTCTTTGCCAGCGAGGACAAGTGCTAATACAGTTCAAATACACTCTCTGTTCTTAATGTCTCCTCAAATTGTGCAGTTTATCAAATGTATGTGTTTTCCTTTGGCTTAGAACTTCCATCTGAATGATTGATCAATTCCACTTCTCTGTTGATCTCCAGATCCAGGCCTGTCATTACCATGGATATCTCCATTTTCCTGCCTGCATCCATCAATATCACAGCTCCTCAGTGCCATGATGGCTTGCAGCCAGTGAACTGCCTCAATGTCACGGCATGCTTCCGCTTCAGTGGCAAGCGTGTTCCTGGAGAAATAGGTATGGTTCCTGTGCCAGCGCTGGGCAGGGGTGTGCTAGCAGGTTGACCTGGCTCCCTTTGGAGTCACTAACAGCTTTGATGTGAAATAAGTTGTTTTAGGGTGAGCTGGACTATACAGTTCCAGAAAGTTGGAGGCTCCGTGTTTTGGGCATGTTTTTACCTTCTGATGAGGCTGACATAATAGCGGGGCGGTTTCTTCCTCAGTGAGAGGAAGGAAATGCAGGCTTGGGCTTACTGCAAGGACAGAAACACAGAAGCAATTGATGCTTTTTAAGTTTATCTTCCCTGTTTACCTCTTGATAACACTTTTCTGTACCCATATCCTCTATCAACGTTATCAGAAAGCAGGTGTGATTTGCTCCGGATCAGTAGTTCTTGAAAGTCCACAACAAGCTCTTGAAGCAGAGCACTATAAATCTGAATTCCTACCAGACAAGAGCAAATCCTTTTATGTGTATCAGTTTACCTGTCTCTAAAATTACTATGAATAGCCCAATATTTTACTGATGGCAAGAAAGTCTTCCAGGTTGGTTAGTCTCTGTGAAGCACCTGGAGTTTCTTAGGTGAATGAAACTGTGTAAGGTGTGTAATTATGCAAGCCTTTATCTTGGCTGCATTAAATATTAATATTAAAATATTATGTCTTTTACATTCCAGTGTTTAAAAGTCTTAGATATTGTGTGAAGTGTTATGGGATAGATAGAGTGTTTCTAAATATTGTAAGGTCTGGGTTTATTTGGTTCAACTGCGATGTTTTACCTTTGCCGTGCCTTAGGAATGGCATCCTCTTATAGTTATGTCCTCTTATAGACCATGCTCTTATAGTTGCACTGGCAATTTGCAGCTTAGTCTTCTATCCACTAACATTCATATTAATAGAAGAACTACCCTCAAACACAGTCTATGCACAAGAAGTTGAACTAATCTGAAAAATCCTTCCAGCCATTGTCCTCATTCTACTCGCCCTGCCACCCCTACAAATCCTATACATAATAGACAAAATTGATGAGCCTGAGTTAACTCTAAAAACCACTGGATCCCCAGCATTTCTGAACTGCTGATCAAGAAAAGTTAGTTTCATGTATGAATCCCAGTATGCAGAGTCTGCTGCAGTATTTGGATTTTAAATGAGTTGGAGAAGAAAAAGGCTTCTTGCTACTTCTCCCGCCATTCACATAGAGTGAGAACTACAAGCTGCTTCTGAAGTTGCTCTCTGCAGCTTGTCACTTTGTCACCTGAACAGCTCAAAGAAATGAAGTTACTAAATTTAAGATTCTTCTGGATTCTGACATATTGGTGCATCTGAGACTTCAGGTTCTATTTTTGCATGTTTTCCCTCCCTGTAAATGATGACTCTCAGCAGAAAATACATGCTTTGATAAAGTGTTTTTGGTACTGCCTGTTACTCTGCCAGTTAAGAAAACACTTATCTCCAAGTGCTCCTTGGGTGCTAATTCCTTTCTGAAAATCACTGAATTGATTTTCTGCATATCTAGGTTTTCTTATGTTCCTGGGGGTACTGTTCAAAAACTTTCCTTCGCTTTAATTTCATATCTCTGGACCTGTGGCTAAGAAGTCAGCTGCCTTTTTTCCCAATCTAGATATCTGCTCCCCTTGTTTGCATAAGACCTATCTTCCTCTTCATCACATCCTGTAAGAGCCAGTTGAATTCCCCTGTGTTGTCATACGAAGTGTACTCCTGATGATTTGTCATGGTGAAATGCACATGTGCATCTTCTGCAGCAAGTAACATCCATCTCATTGTAAGGAATTTTTTAACTATGAAGTAGATGATTATAAAACTTCCAACCATTGTCCTTTAATACAATGCTTCTAGCAAAGTGATTTGTCTTGAGAACTTTGCAGCCAGAATTTTCTGACTGTATAAAACCACTTGGGGATATGATTTGGATAAAATATCTCAAGTAAGCTTTCATTTTGCAATCCAGCGGCCAGGCCATTTTAATTATGTTGCAGTTGAAGAGTATCAATTAACAAAGGGTGGAACAATTCATGGAAATACTGCAATGGTTCCTCTCCTGTGGGGTTAAATGTGGGGAAAAATAGAATATCCCTATGAATAAATTGTTGTCCAGTTTGGACTGTGAAAGACATATCGAGCTGTTAAAATACTATGTCAAAGTGTTGGGATTGTCTCATCTTCGGGTGTCTGGGATGAGCCTGTTAAGTTAGAAGATGAGAGCACAGTTCTCATCAGGAGCGCTGCTTCCTTAAGGCTTGTCAGTGTAGATGCTCAGGGCAGCTGCTTACTCGTGAAAAGCTGGGCATTGCTCTTGCTTCTGGGCAGCTGAAGTTGGTCACCTACTACACCACCTTTAGAAAGCCAAACTGAACAAGCAAGCAGCATTCTCCTGGGCAAATATGTGTCTTCTATGCTCATTTGAATGTGTGGTTAGTTTGTTAACTGGCACATGAAGGAAAGTTGTCTTCATCTAGCACTGCCTCACACTTGCATAGAAACCTTTCCCGTGCAATGTAGTTGCAATACTGGGTTGTTCAGTGTATGGAGTAGCTATCTGAGGGTGTGTACTTATTGATACTGCTTGATAGTGCCAATGACAGTTTAATTCCCATCCATTTTCTGCATACTGTTTGCAGAATACGGTCTTCAGAAGTATGGATTTATGCTGGAATGTTTTTGTCTGAACAAAGAGCCATGCCCAAGTGAAGCATGCGCTCTGTGCTGCATGCCAGGCATTGTCTGGCCTGTCTCTCTGCCTTGGCTCTTGCTGGGAGAGCTGAGCCTCTCATCATACTCCCACCAACACAACAGCCTCTGGTACATCTGGATGTGTGAGAAACATGGCATTTTAAGCTTTCACTCTTTCACCTAGGAATCTCACTCAGGCTGTTTTCCCTCACTTGAAGGGTCTTTGCCTTCTCTTCCCTGGGGTCTCTGTATATGCAGGAAAGGCATGAGATGAGAGAAAGGCATTTCCTAGCCTGGATGTGCACGCTTCAGCCTGTTCAGATGGTGTGCTTCTGGGAGACCTGGACAAGAAGACAGAGGCTGCTGACATCTCTTTACATCAAGCACTGCTTCTGTATTCATCCTTGCAGGAGAGTGGAAGTAAACTTGTGCCCACAGTCTGGATAATTTCCTCTACAATAATAACAACAGTAATAGTAATGCCAGTGTGAGAATTAGGTGAATTTTAGTGGCTATGAAAATGAAGGGGTTTGGGCATTTGGTTAGAGTTAGGCAGATGCGTTAAAACAGCTTCAAAGTTTCTCCTGGACTCTTCACTTCAGATGTGCATTGCTTGTGTGTTGATCCATTTCTGGGGTAGTTCTCATGTCCCAGATACTGTTGCCTGAAAAACTGGTGTGAGAGTTAGTGTGGGGTGATAGGTTGGTTGATATTTGCACTCTGTTTGAGTATGTTTCTAGCAGCCCTGCAGAGGATTTGAGGGTGTTAGTGGACGGGAAACAACATGAGCAGGCAGTGTGCACTCGCAGCCCAGAAGGCCAGCTGTATCCTGGGCTGCATCAAAAGAAGTGTGACCAGCAGGTCAAAGGAGGTGATCCTGCCCCTCTACTCTGCTCTTGTGAGACCCCACTTGGAGTACTGTGTACAGTTCTGGTGTCCTCAACATAAGAAGGACATGGAGCTGTTGGAGCAAGTCCAGAGGAGGCCACGAGGATGATAAGGTGGCTGGAGCACCTCCTGTATGAAGACAGGCTGAGAACGTTGGGGCTGTTCAGCCTGGAGAAGAGAAGCTGTGTGCAGACCTCAGAGCAGCTTCCAGTGTCTGAAGGGAGCCTACAAGGATGCTGGAGAGGACTCTTCATTAGGGACTGTAGTGATAGGACAACGGGTAATGGGTTCAAACTTAAACAGGGGAAGTTTAGGTTAGATAGAAGGAAGAAGTTCTTTACAGTGAGGGTGCTGAGGCACTGGAACAGGTTGCCCAAAGAAGTGGTAAATCCTCCATCCCTGGCAGTGTTCAAGGACAGGTTGGATGGAGTCTTGGGTGACATGGTCTAATGTGTGGTGTCCCTGTCCATGGCAGGGTTGGAACTAGATGACCTTTTCAAGCCTAACTGTTCTATGATTCTACAAGTTTGTGCTTGATCTAAAACCTAGTGAAAGTGGACACTCCTCCTCTGACCTCGATCCTGCTGCAGTTTGGTGCAGGAGTATAATTAATGTGTGGTGTCCCTGTCCATGGCAGGGTTGGAACTAGATGACCTTTTCAAGCCTAACTGTTCTATGATTCTACAAGTTTGTGCTTGATCTAAAACCTAGTGAAAGTGGACACTCCTCCTCTGACCTCGATCCTGCTGCAGTTTGGTGCAGGAGTATAATTTGTGCTGCATTTTTCCAGTCTGCTTGGATGCAGCAGAGCTCTGAGTGCCTCACAAGCACGGATGCTGTAGGGATGTGTTGTTCGGCGTATGGAGCAGCAAGGATGGGCCCCTACTTAGAAGCTAGGGACAACACTAAGAGAAAGGATTTGAAATAAGGTTTGAAACAAGTAAGGGGAAAAGGAAAGCTTTTTGGAAGAGGATGTGGGGAATGTCCTTGTATGCTGTCACTCAGGGCAATGTTCTTTTTAATACTTTCATTACTTAAGGATTTTCCCTGCAAGCAAAGTTCATGAATTATTTTCTCCTCATAATTACTGGTAAAGACAGCAAAGACATTCCTCTTCCAATGGATTTTTGTTATTATTTAGTAAGTTCTTAATTTTCTCCATGTGGCGCCTCCCCTTCCTTCCCTCCTCCCCTATGAATCAGAACTGTAGATA